AAGAGGCCGGGGATGAGGAGGGACTGGAGGGGTCAGTGATAAAAAGCCAGAGGGTTAAGGTTAGGTATGGCAGAACCGTGCACACCCAGCCACTAGGATCTCACTGCTTCACGTGACACTTTTTTTTCTCTGGCTCAGTACATGCATGGAATGGATGTATATTTTATTCTTCATGTTGAACATGTGGCCATTATGCCATATTTACTGCAGAGTATTCAGACCCCATTCTGAACGTAGAATTACTCATTTCCTCACAGGTTCTCTATGGTGCTTATCTCAGTAGCATCTAAATACTTCACCACAACCAATAGCTTTACCTTCACACCCTTTCTCTGTGAAGTAATGATGATATTATTCCCATCTTACAGTTGAGGAACTGAGGCACCAAAACGTGCCTCAGAGAATGTAACTCAGTCTAGGGTTTGCCCAGCCTGCCTTAAAGTGGGGTAGGAGGGGTGGCAGGTGGACTGGAGCACCTTCATTTTAACCTTCATATAATGAGGCATAATTGGACACTTTTAAAGCACTCTGCAGCCATGCATTTCTGGCACGGTACAGCCGTAGAGCACTTTCAGGGGAGTGATCGTGCAACAAAACATTGCTTCTGTCAGTGCCCCTGGTGTCTTTTACTAAAAAAAGTCATGTTTTCCCAATTATTTACCCATTCTCTGAACTGTCTCCAGTTTAACAGCACACTTAAATTTTGTCCATCTGAGCTGGACACTTCATTCCAGTAGCAGTTATACCAGTGCTCAAAACTGAGATCATATAACCTCTTTTGATCACAGAGAATTCAACTTCAGCTGATTATCCATCATGTTCATAAGTCTTTTTGTGACTTAAATATCACATGGAAAATTTTAAGGATTTAAAAATTAATTCTAAAAAGTATATTCAGATTTGGTTTCTCTTTCTCTCTCTCTCTTCTAAATCAGAAAAATTTGAAATCCGAATCTGACCGAAAAAAAAATTCCTTGCCATTATGACTTCTTAATTTTCCATAAATGTTAATTTAACGTTCTTGGACAAAAAATAGAAGTTGAATATCATATATCAGTAATTTAAAGGCAAGACAGCTTTACAAGAACATAGTAATTTATAAAAACAAACTCACATTACTGAGGAAAACTTGGGTTATAAGAAATCCCGCTGTTAGAAGTGCAGTGTTAACAAGTTCCACCTTTGCTCAGAAAAAAATTGAAGCAAATCCATCTGTTCATAATGAACTATCAGATCTCACCAGTAAGCATCATATCAGAATATTTTGCTCGTCTGTTGCTGTGGAAGCTTCAGTCTCTATAGCTGCACCCTAACGATAAAGACGTGCTTTCAAAGACCTGGTTAAAAAGGCACTTAGCCACAGTAACAGTGTCTTGCCTCAAATGTGTGTGTAAAACTGTAAGTGGAATTAAAATCAAAAGAGCTATGCTTCCCATATCTCCACAGACCAAGGAATTTTTGCTTGGGATTCACAACCAACATGGTAAGCAGGAGGTCAGTCAACAGGAAATGCTGAAAACAGCACTGCAGAACCCTGTCCCTCTGCTGAAGACAGAATATATGCTATTCCTTGCAGCCCCACGTGAAATGTTTGTGTTAATGTGGAATTCAAAATCGGAAATCTCATGGAAGCTGAACCACTTAAAGACATAGCCTTGCTGAACTGCAGCTACTCAAAGGGGAAGAGGAAGACCCCACATGTCCTTTGCCTACAGCACAGCAATTAGGGAAATGGCCCCGGAAGTACGATGGGTGGATACTAGACCTAGAGTCCGACAAGGTTTGAACTCACAACTCCCATTTCCTAGGAAAGTGTCCTAAACCACCATTCTCTTGGGCATCTAAGAATGCAAAGTGAATGTTGCAGATGAACAAGGAAGCAAGGAGTGAGACTATAGCCCAGTGAGGAAGGCACTCCTCCCTGAGCACTGGGTTCTGGCCCCTGGGATTGCTTTTTTATTTTGCATTAAATAACCATGGAATAAACTGCATTAAAAGAATGGGGAAGTTAGACCAAAGCCCGAGGATGTAAATCATAAAAGTTCTGTCTTCCTTCTTACACAGGGAATGCAAATTAATAATATTAACATGCAGTAATTATTGAACATGGGAGTTAACACCTCACTGAGCTGAATGGAGCAGTTCAAATCTCACAAAAATATTGTTCAGGGTTCCTTGCAGTTTCATCTAGAATCACATCTGCACCTGTACAAGTAGATTCATGTTCCTGAGGTCTTTTTGTAACCGTAATAGTTGCAGACCTCTCCTTTCTTTATTGAAAACAGAGATTCCAGAGAATAAGAGGATAGTTTTAGAGAAGCGCCAATAAGGCATATGGATAGAAACCAGTTGCTTCCTAGCGCTGACAGCTTGGAATTCACAAATCAGCTTTAACACAGTGGAGTAATTCTACTTTATTTAGAAAGTTTTTCAGTGTTTCTGGTTACATTCTAAGTTTCTGCACTGAGTATAAATATGTTATAAAAAGTTCCTTGTGCCAGCTGCTACTACCAATAGTATATGCTCACATCTATATTTTGTCAGATAGGGATGTTCCTTTCCCCTTTGCTGTTTGTAGTTGTTGTATAGCTACCAGTTAAAACTAGTCAAAAGACACATGAGTCAACATGCTGTTGAAAAAGGAGCACGTTAAAGAGCACTATAACTCAATATCTCTCCTTTCTTGTTTAGCTTCAGCTGTCTCAACATTAACTTTGCAGAGAAAACTGAAATGGCAGTGTAATCTAAAGTTAATTTTGTCACTTTAGTTTCATTTTGCCACAGAAATATGTTTAGCAATTGCAAAAAGCATAGGGGGAGTATATCTTTTATTGGGGCAACCATATAGTTGGAAGAAAGGCTAACTATACAATTGGTATCAACAAAAGGTATCATCAAAAATATTGCCTCTCATTTCCTGAACTAGCACAGCTACAACAGCATCCCAACCCTGCTACATCATGGAGGCTAGAGAAATTAACTCACTGGTTTGTGTCTGGACTGTGTTGTCCAGCTTTTAAAGGGCCAGGGACCACGTGCTGCACCAGTCTCAGGCACTGAGCTGCACCCTATTCTAACTGTGGCTAGAGACAAAAGTTATACAAAAACCGGTTTAAGTGATTAGAAACTGGTTTAAGCCTGTAACAGAACAGAAGTTCAGTGGACATAAACCAGTTTCAAAATGGCT